TATATATCAACTGATCTTAATGAACTAGAAGATGTGTTAAGCACAATGCTATTTTATGTCTATATTTCTGCTAATTTAGATGATTATGGCTTACAATAACAGGTAACATGGCCGACTTGACTGTTGTTAAAAAGTCATGATCCACAAAAGGCCATTGCTAAGAAACTAGTTGTTCATAGGGCTTAATGGAAGCAGGGCAAAGAGGAGCGATAATTGTGGAAACAAGTTACAACTGTCAAATTTCTTGTGTTAAGAAACAACATAAGAAATTTGAAACAACTATTTTGGAGAAATTTGCAATAACTCTTTTGCAATTTTATTGCCTTTATTGCCTTACAGCAATAACTCCACTCTTTGTGGAGTGCTTTGAATTTTATTTCAAAATGACACTGACTTTTTTTAAAATAAATTGATCTGTGATGCTCATTTATGGGGCAGCAGATGAAGAAGACAGAATTGGGCGGGGTGCCGAGAGGGGTGTTTAATGTCCAGTGATCACTGAAGGTTACAGAATATACTGTGACAATATGAGACGTTCAGGTGAGTAAAACGAAATTATGTTAACTATGATATATTAGATGTTTTACATTAAAACAAGACTATAAATTTTCAATTTAGTTTGCTTTAGTAAAAAGAAAACCATGATTGTTTTTCTCAGTAAATGAACAATAGCTATAAGAAGGACGGAAAGGGCTCTGCATTTTTAATGTCTTACAGTCCATGAATGCATCACTATAAACACCTTACAGCAATGAACGCGGCTTCGGACAGATTAAGCGACATAAATTGACTTCTTTGTTGGTTTTCTTGAACTCGATAGTTTAGCTAAAAGTGTGGTGCCACGGTGCAGCCTTCAGCTCTCTGGCCACAGCAGAGCAGAGAGGTCAAGTCACTATACGTACGTCCACTCTCACTCACAAAACTATAGCGGTTTACCTTCGCATGGACGGTCCCCATGATAACCAGCCGCTCCAATAAACCTCCTCAGAAAGGCTTTACTTCACAGCAGGAGAGCGAAAAGTAAGCGCTGACAGAAGCTACTGTCTCTGGTACCAAGCTCCCTTCAAGGGAGACGCCATGACAGTTGCTGAGATATCGTGCTGAGTTCAAACATACCTCGTAATGTAGAGTGTCGACTTGAACTCCGACGTTTTTAAGACCGCAAACTTTTACAAATGACATTGATTTACATGTTCTCTAACGTTAACTTGTTTCACAATCTTTCTTTAATTTTTTATTTTTGTCTGTTTGTCACTGTCATCTGGTTTTATTGTTGCAATTGTAAGAAACATGTGTGGTGCTGTTTTAAATCAGGTTTAACAGTAGTATTTGTAGTTTTTAAAGTACACAATGTCTGACAATACATTTTCTATTTTTGTTTTAAGGTGAGGCTTGTGGTGTTTTTCCTCTTACTAAATTCAGAACAGGTAAGTCCAGGCATAATCAGTCAGCGTCCCGTGTTTCTAAATCAGAGGCTGTCCTAAATCCTCAAAAAGCACAAAATTGTGTTTCAAAGAATCCAGTCAACAATCATCAAATGTAATCAGTCAAGTTATTTTGGGTTTTTAAATTAGACACGATGAAAGAGTCCTGATTTACTGGAAAACTGTGCAATAGCCCTTTAGTATATTGGTAAGCTTCGGCATTCAGAGCTTAGATTGAAGATATAAAGAAAAAACAGATTTAAGTCAATTGTCTCTACTAATAGTAGATAATTTTATAATTTTCCTCATAGTACAACCCCATCTTTATCCTCCGATGGTTTGCTAGAACAGGCTTGTTTTGGTGCCCATAAATTTGAAATACAAGATCTTTGACCTAATTTGATCCTCACTTGAAATCGGGGCAAGAGGTACAAGAGGCTTAGAAAGAATGACCACCTAAAATAATAAAATATAACGTAATACCATAGCTTTGATGTCCAAAGGCTTACAAAGTGTTAACAAGTCAGAAATGACCAAGTTTTCTACATTTTTGAACGCATCACTTTGAAACTTCTCATTGATTGGACAGGGCCCGGAATGCATTTCCAAATACAATCCTGTAGATGGCAGTGTTTTCTTTCTCATTGAATCATATTCATTTCCAGTGTTCAGGAAAAGGATGTTCTCTGTTTTCAGGTGGGTTAAAACTGAAGGAACCATTTAGTGGGGAGTTAGAGATTATTAATAAACAAACGGCATCATGGAGACGAGGGAACACAGCAGACAGGTCAGGGAGGAAGCAGTGGGGAGATTCAGAGAAAATAAAAATCTTGTTTCCTTTTACGTCTGTTTCGGTTGGTGTATGTCAACTTTATACCCTGCAGGACCCTGTAATTCAGGATCCAGAAGACTTTTTGGGCCTTGGCTTTTATCCTTATTGACTGTCATTTTCAGCTTACGTACGAGTGCTAATAATTTCCTGTTAATATTTTAACTTTAAATCTTTAAACGGTTTCTTTGATTTGTATTTTCCCCTGAGAAAATTCAGCTAAATACACCTGCAAGGAAATTGGTGCACAACATCGACCTCATGATCTGAACCCGACACTGGAGGGAAGATAACTCAGCAATTTGTGCCTTATTAATGAATCTACAGTCATATTCAGCGATTTACAACATATATAACCCGATGAGTCTCGGAGAGTGTCTTTTGAAAATTAACCAGGTATGAAAATTAAACTTCATTATCCCCACATTTCTGTTTTAAAAATTTATTTTTTTCATTGGTCTGATATCACATACTAATTTTAAATGTCATGTTTTTATTAGCTTTAAGTGAAAATGATGATGCGTAATGGAAATAGATGCTTTCAGCCATCCATCTGTGTGCAATTACTCCACATAATGTGTTTCACTTAGTGATAAATCATATATGCAGACATAATTCACTTTATGAGTTTGTATAAAACAGGAAACTAAACAAAATGACAGCGCCGTTCTGCCTCTTTCCAGAAGGGGGCGCCAAGTTTCACAAAGTTGACCTGCAGTTTTCTGACCTTTATTGGTGAGGTCAGCGGTTCCTCAGGAACAGCCATGACAGAGACAACAAAAAAAAAAGGCTAAAAATATCATGTTTTCAGGAGGAGTGGGTGTTTAAATAAAGGTTGATGGTTCAAACCCAGATCTGCATGTAAACCTTAGGTGTGGAGCATTTCACCATGCATGTTTCTCCTGTGTAATAAAATAAAGTCACTTTTAAGATGCTTTTAGGAGCGACAGCTGACTTCCAGTACATTTTAGGCCGTGTTGAAGAATCACATTAGGAAGGAAGTTTTGGTCAAGCAACATGTTGAATTCACCAGTGAAACAGGAAAAGAGCAGAACCACAGAGGAGGAAGCAATCCTGCTGGGATGCAGAGGTAGAGTCGCAGAAATGCCTCCCAGATCTGGAGTCTGAATCTTGATCAATCATAATCAGAAGCGAGAAACCAGTATTTCCTATAACTCATAAATTCAAACCTTTTCCTTATTTCTTTTGGCTTTTTTGTGCGCGGCTAAATGAGATTTTGGGAAAAAGACGACGCAGCAGTGCATACCTGACACTGAGGCTTGTTGTAAGTGTGGAAAGATTTCTTCAAACCCCGTTAAACCTTTGATATTTTTTTTGAAAAGGTTCATAACTGGGAGGAAATAGTAAATAACATTCCACTGTTGTTTTAGGAAAATGTTCAGAGTCAGAATGTTCTGCTCTGGATTTTACTGAGCCTCTGATGCTTGAGCTGTTATTGCCTGCTAACTGTCATGCAGACATCCTGGTTCTTCTCCGGTCACGATGCGTTTTTTTAAAGAGCGAAATGCAGCTGCATTTGTAGCAAAAAGGTGATAATCATAATAATGAATCATTTTACTTACACATGTTTTAGATTTGACTTTATTCTGTCCATCTATTTTATTTATTTATTTTTTTTACTTAATAAAAATAATTTTTATTTAATAAAAATATACAGAGAGTAGTTAAGAGCTGAAATAAGTTCTGACACAAGTCTCATATCTTTTGTAAAATAAAAAATAAAAAAGGCACCTGTAGGCACATTTTAGCAAAAATATTTTTGTCGTTGGCAACATGGCTCTCTGCCCAGGGCAGCAGGTTCTTGGGGACGTCACAACAATTTACAACAAAGCAAGCTGGAACTTGACAATATTTTCTACTGCATATCAGTATATTGATATATCTGTGCATCACAACTTGTTGATCATTTGAAAATCTTTTGCTGTTGTTGTTTTTTCAATTGGCTACACTTGGTCGTCTTTAGGGGCTGCACAGTGGCGCATTTGGTTGCACTGTTGCCTTGCAGCGGGAAGGTCCTGGGTTGGATTCCCGGGGTTTTTCTGCACGGAGTTTGCATGTTCTCCCTGTGCATGGTGGGTTCTCTCCGCAGTCCAAAAATATGTCTGTTAGGTTAATTGGTGTTTCTGAATTCTCCTTCGGTGTGAGTGTGTGTGTGCATGGCTGTTTGTCTCGTCTGTCTCTGTGTTACCCTGCGAGCTGGTCATCATCAGAAATGTTTTAAACAACCATCTTTTTTGATTCTCTTGGAGATTTTTGGTGCTGTTTTGTGGGTTTTATGTATTCAGGGTGAAAAGTTGCATTTCAGTGTCACTCTGAAAGGCTTGCAGCTGCATTTGTAGCAAAAAGGTGATAATAATCATAATAATGAATCATTTTACTTACACATGGTTTAGATTTGACTTTATCCTGTCCATCTATTTTATTTATTTATTTATTTTTACATCCCCCACCTTCTTGTCATGACTCTTCGCTCCTCACCGCTCAGCCATCCTCTCTCTCCTACCGGCACGAACAAGCCAATCAAAGAGCTTCATTCTCTCTCTCTCTCTCTCTCTCTCTCTCTCTCTCTCTCTCTCTCTCTCTCTCTCTCTCTCTCTCTCTCTCTCTCTCTCTCTCTCTCTCTCTCTCCCTCCAACCCCATCCCCACCTCGCTCCCACCCCCATCTGCTGCCAGTCCACTTAAAAAAAAAAAAAAAAAAAACGGTCCTCCTCCTCTATCACAGACACACACACGCACGTCCGCACGCGCGCGCTCTCCCACGCGCAATTCACACCACATCCGCACACACGCATGCACGTGCAAACTTCCACCGTCGCGCCCACACCAGCGGCCAGTCCAGGGCTGAAACCCGTCAAAAGCCCCGCTGGATCCTCACATCGCCTGTCAGCATGCGGAGCGCTTGTTTTCCCCGGGACGTTTGTTTGTTTGTCCTCCTCATGAATGCTTGCAGGGTGATGGGGAATGTCGGACTCGCAGGTAAGAAGCTCCTCTTTCTCCTCTCCTCTCCCGTCTCGTTTCCCCCTCAAGACTTTCTGCTCTTCCGCGGATTCTTCCCTTTTTTTTACCGGTTTCTGTTTTCTTTTTTTTCTTCTTTCCTTTAAAGGAAGAAACGATGGAATATGAGTGTCAAACAGCGAGGCATGTTCCACTAGGATGAACTTATAAAAAAGAAAAGAAAAGAAAAAAAACAATCCCAAAGTCCTGATAGATCTGGAGAAACTTTCCGTTATTATGTTTTGGAATATCATGTTGAGGTTCTGTGTTGGCTGCCAGGTTCAGGATGGATGCAGAAACGTTCCCCAGCAGTGAAACTGAGCGGTCACATATTTAGTCAATAATTTGGCCGCGTGACACAAAAAGGGCCACTAAATGTTTGATCAAATCTCAGCTCTGACTCTCTGACTTCTCTGAAGTTGCTTGCTGCGCCCCTGCAGGGCCCGATCCAATCGGAAACCGCAGCTTGATCCCCGGGTTAAGCGCTGCTCTGCTTTCGCTCCTGTTTTTCTATGTTACCGCTTCCAGAGCCGGGCCAAGCCTCTCCGGGGCCCCGGGCAGGATTGGATTTAATAAGCACCCAGCAGATATGAGCCTTTTTTTTTTTTTTTTGGTTGTTTATTTGCCTAACCTAATTGCAATATGCTTTGATCTAAATGAGAAGCCTCAAGTAGCTGGGGGCCATTTGAGGCCCTCAGAATGACTTAAGAATGACAACTTAAGAAAAGTATTGAAATGTATTTTTACATATTAGATCCTGCATAAATTACAAAATATTCTTTCTATAAAATTCAGGCTGAAAATATTCCATCTTCAGTTTTTTTGTTTAACATGTAAAAGTAAAATAAATAAATAAATGAATAAAATTTTACACACACACACACACACACACACACACACACACACACACACACACACACACACACACACACACACACACACACACACACACACACACACATATATATATATATATATATACACATATATAGATGTATATATATATATATATATATATATATATATATATATATATAATATATATTATATTATAATATATATATATATATATATATATATATATATACATATTTATTTATTTTAATAAATTGTACATTAATTGCGGCAGCAGATTTGTTCCTCTGATTATGATTTTTTTTGCTGAGGGGCAGTGAAGTCTAGATGTGAAGCTTTTCAATGTAGATCAGGTAGAGCTGGGAAGGAAAGAGTCATTTTAACTCTTTATTGTTGATGTGTTCACAGTTACAGTTGGCATAAAATGTGATTCCAGACACAATCAGGAGAAATGACTAAAGTGGGAACTTCACGAGTTCAACCCAATCCAAACATGAACATATTTCTCTGTTAACCAACAGCAAGAAGGGTCTGGGTTTACATCCCAGCGCCTGCCGACGCACTTCCACTTGATTCTCATCTCCCTTCTGTATGTTGTCTGGGATTTCTCCCATTGAGCTTGATTTCTCCAGCTGATTTTTCCTGCAGGCCAATCAGCGAATGGAAGGAGACATCCATCCATCCATCCATCCATCCATCCATCCATCCATCCATCCATCCATCCATCCATCCATCCATCCATCCATCCATCCATCCATCCATCCATCCATCCATCCATCCATCCATCCATCCATCCATCCATCCATCCATCCATCCATCCATCCATCCATCCATCCATCCATCCATCCATCCATCCATCCATTTTCTTCTGTCTCCGGACGAGAGTCACCCTGGACAGGTCGCCAGTCTGTTGCAGATTTTCTGCTCTGCTTTAGAATTGTGGTCCGTCTGTAGTTTTAGTGACGGCAGTGGAGGAAGTGAACAAAGTCATTCAGTCTGAGTTGGTCACAGTTCCAAATATTGAATTAACATCAACAGTCGCCTGGTTTGGGTTGGTCTTTGTCTCTATGCATTTGTGTGATCTATGCACACAAATACATAGATTGGAAATTTGAACACGATATGCCACAATGATGCACTACACACAGTAAAGTACACTGGATTTGGAGTTTGGGCCTCAAAAAAAAGAAAGATAAGAAATACACAACGGACACTGATACTTCACTAAAAGGAGAACAGGAAGTGATATGTTGGAGGGCAAACGATCGATCCTGAGCTTCATAGTGGAGCTCAGGTTGTTTACAGCGGAGGCAACTTCTGGTAAACTGTGTAGAGTCAAACTGGTGTGTAACATATGTCACAGCCATGATGTATCTTACACATGTAACATACGTCATGTATATGTATACATCACTTTATAATCTATAGCACTTTAGATTATAAAGTGCTATAGATTAACATGTTAGCCAATGCTAGAGATTGGCTATAATTAAAACTTCAACAGAGCTAACGCCTCCACGAAGCAACCATTGCTCAAAAACTGAGAGTCCAGGCCGTCTGGGTGAAGCAAGAAACATAGATCAAGCTGGTTTTTTTCCAGGATATGGCTAAAGTGTGAGTTAAACTGCTTTTAAGAGAAGTGTTGTGTACATGTTTAGGGTTAGACACAAACTGGGTTACAAAAAGTGAACCGGAGTGAAGCCAGTGTCAATAATAATTGATATACAAATGTGCGTGTGGGTGTGTATGTGTGTGTGAATGTTGGTTTTGGAGGTGGTAGGAAGCAGTGGGTTGGAACTGGTGTCGTCATAAGTCCCAGGAGAAGCAGGCAGCAGGGGCCCAATATCGACCCTGCAGCAGGAGCACCACATTGTTCTGGGTGGAGAGTCATTATGGAGACAATCTGCCACCACAGCAGGCTGGGGGGGTCAGGGGGGCATGGATGTCCACAACTTCTAAACACACAGGAGACTTGTTGCTGCTTGGTTCTTTCATTTCACACTTCCCTTTTCTCACTCACTTATTGTTTTTCTATTATTATTATTACATATTTGTGAGGGTCAGACATTTGGAGGAAAGGTCTACAGACTGACTCCCAGGATAGCACGAACCAAAACGTCTATATGTGATTTGCGTTTGTAATGAAGCGTCCTTCCATCGCTGGATGTAAGACCAGATGAGACCAGCCCCTCTATCAATAACCTGATCAATGGAGGAGCCCTAAAGCCGCCTGTTTGCCGTGTCCTCAGCTGCCAGATCTTGGCTTGAGAGCTTTCCTCATGCAGAATAGTCTGGGCCTCAGTGAACACTCATGGGAAGGAAGACAGAGAATAAGAATCAGTCAGAGTTGCAAATCAGTTCACATTGAGGCTGGAAGACCCAGCTGTTAATGTTTTTTTAAAGTGCTATAATCTTTTTTTTTTTTCCCCCAAGAAGTCGTCCAATGCTCAGCAGGCTCTTCTGCTTTTATTTCATAACCTTAGGAGAATGGAATTTCTATTTTGCCACTGATGTTAGTTTGAGTTTTTCTAGTTAGTGCCAAATCTGTTGATCAGTTTGTTTGAGGGCTGTTCTAAATGATTGTTTAGTAATCTATCATTCATTCTAACGATTAATCAGTTAATCAAATAAAAAAAACTGAGCCGTCCTGCTGTACCTACTTGGGCTAGTGAAAGAGAAAGCGCTTGTAAAATTGATTCAGTTTGTTTATTTAATAAGAAAAAATGTCAGGCTGAAACAATTCATTTGATAAATCTTGATGAATCAATTATTGAAATAGTTTAACTTATTTAATTGATTGATCATTAACTGTACTATACAGATTTAAAAAAAGGCCATTTGCTGAAAAAACATATGCAGGCCAAAACCGTACAAAAATTATATACATTTTGCATTTCCGATAAAAACACATTTATCTGTAAAAATGTTTTATGCAAAAATCCTCACGTTTTAGCATCACTGGGTTCAAATTCACTAGAGAAACACAAAATTATTGCATTTTAGGCAAAAGGGAATTGAGTTGTTGGTTTATTTGTATCTTTTAATGTGTTTCTGATATTGCATATTAAAAACGCTGAAGTGATTAAATGAAATATCTGCAGAATGTGCCAAATGTTTTATCTGAATATCTGATTACAAAAATAGCTGTTAGTTGCAGGCCACCATACTTACAACTCAGTACCATTCAGATCACTTTTCGTCCCACGTTTGAAGTGTGAAAAAGTTTTTTGTTGTTTTTTTTTTCAAAAACAGGTAAGAAATAAAATATTTCACAATAACTTAAAAAAAAAAAAACTTCTCAAACTTATATTGATGCTTCACTTTCAGTTCCAAGTTTGAAGCAAGAATAAGCTTTTTTATAACCTACTTTCTTTTCACATCATTTCTCTTTTTTATCATCGGTAGCCTTGGTGTAATGTTAGCCATATTCTGCACCAAGATCACAGATTAAAAGTTGGAGTCTTATGGAAAAGGAAAAGAGAAAAGGTTACCTGTTGTCAGTCATGAACAGGTTGGATGCCTGTGGTTGATGTTTCCTGCTAAAGTGTTTCAGGACATTTTGTTGTGATACTCCAATTCCGCTTTGCAGCACATCTCTGGGCTGGTTTGTCTTTTCTATTTCATTTAAAACATTTTTCAAATTTAAAGTCATCTCACAGGTCAGACACTCTGTCTCTTTCTTTGCTTCGTTCTGTCCATAGTTGCTAATAGCACTTGGTGTTCATCACCAGCTGATTGGTGGAAGTGAGAGCATTGTGCAACACATACAATCATCTGGCATGAACACAGTTTGTTAAATAGTAACATCATTTATTGAAATCTCAATCCAGATCATTTTCCTTGAGGAAAAAGAGATTCTTGGATCAGTCAGTGAATTGTTGGTTCTTTGACAGACCTTCTGAAGCACTTTGCCATTTATGAAATATCACAAAACACAAGAGTTCCCTGGCCTGACAAAAAAAATCAGTGGGGAGATCATTATGATGTTGGCAGCAGATCTGACTAACTGCACCAAAAACACCAACATGTACAGATCAGCAGAGAATTTGAAAGAAGAGGGCCACACTGACCTTTTGCCAAGTTGGAAACTGGTGGCGCCCTCATGGAGCTGGCAGCTTCAGGCAGAGCGTCGGCTTTTCCTGACCTTCAGGTCAAGACACTATGATCAGACGACGTGTGCTGGGAATCACTGAGGAATGGTTCAGAGCTGAGAGGACAACAATAATGGCTGACTGGACAATATATTTACTGTGAATATTGTGAAATATTTACTTTCACAAAGCAAATATGGCTGAAAAAAATCATTTTCATTTTGACTTGCTTCCAAATTCATTTATGAAGCTTCACCAATATTGTATGAAATTCTCAAAGGTTCAGATTCCATGATGAATAAACCAAAATACAAAACGGTTTCAGTGCTTTTTTTTTCTTTTTAAATAGAAATAAACTCATCATCGCTGATTCAATGCATCAATGGAGTTAGAAGATCAAAATATATTTACTTTTTTCTTTTCTTTACTTGAGAATTTAGCGGCACAGGAAACCTAAAGACCTGAGAAGCAGACCCATTCAATAAATTAGAATATTACAAAAAACAATTTCATTTAGGAACCTTATCAATTACTGCACCACATTATATAGATTAATAACTTCCAGATGGATGTGTGGAATTCTTTATTTCTGTTAATTGTATATGTTTCCTGTTACAGCTCATGCAAACATTTAAATGATATTAAGTAACAATAATATTCACAATACTCACTAAATAATGATGAGTAATATTACATTAGATAAATCAATAATAAAAAAAACTATTTTGAAAAACAGAAATGTTGGCTTAATGAAAACAATGGTTTACAGATCTGAGCATTTTTTGTTTGTTTTTTTCCATTTTAATCCGTAATTAAGGCGAGCCATGTCAGCAGGGTGCTGTCCTGTGAGCCGTCAGGTAAAAACTTCTGCAAGTTTCCGAAAGAAATATTTCACCAGCTGCCCCTCCGACCACACCGCTGCCCTTTGGGGCTTCTCATTTCGGAGCAGATGCCGATCAGGGCCGTCGGAGCAGAGTGCCATCAGTCATAGTGAAACATTGAATTCTCAGTGGCTCTAATGAGGTATTGATGTTTGCTGCTTGTGCAGATGCAGACGAGTGTGCAGAAGGTTCAGACGACTGCCACATCGACGCCCTCTGCCAGAACACGCCCAACTCTTACAACTGCATCTGCAAGCCGGGCTACACTGGAGACGGGAAGCAGTGTGAGGGTAAGTTACTGTCACCTAATGCTTCCTGGGGTTCACTGACCAACAGGCCGATGTCATTTCTGCTCAAACGTTTTCATAATTAAAAAAAAAAAAAATGTAGATGTAACGTCAGGCTAAAGTCGAGCATTGTCCTGGTCAAACAGATTGTTACTGGAACTGCTGGCTGGCTTCACTGGTATTCTTTCATCAGACCAGTGAAGGATGGAGCCTCAGTTCCCTTTGAACATCTGTGTCACCGTTGCGTTTGGGCTTGAGGTTACGGCTGAAAAACTTAACATTGATAATTATGAATTTTTTTTTTTTCATTTTAAATAGTGGAAGTACTTCCAAACTAGCGGCATGCCTCTTTCCTGTTTTAGCCACAACTTTCTCTTTTTTATTTCTAAGCAGTTAGGAGGCAAAACCTGGAACTGCTGCTCCACATGCTAGTCAACAACTTGTTGCTGGGTAACTAAAGAATGAGTGGATTGGCTGATGCTGCCCACCTTGCTTTGTGAGGTGTGACAGGTTAAGCGGCTCAAGCCTTTCCTCTGCCGACATTTCCCACAATGCTGTGCAGTTCTGGATCAAAGTTCAGTCAATATTCTACATACTGAATATTGCATAATAACATGTATTGTCTGTTGATATTGATTGCGATATATATTGGTTATTGGTTCACCATCCAGCCGTATTGTGTATTTAAACTGGTCATTCAGTCACAGAGGTTACTTGACCAATAACTATAAACAGTAGAAGAAGAACTATAGGACAGAGAGGCTGATGCATGTCACAGCTCTGGTTTAGAATATCCACCTGCATTTTACTTCCTGTAAGTTTCAGTGAAAGCGTGTTGCTTTTCTGAGCTGCAGTGTTCTATTGTGTGTGTTTGGGGGCGTGTGTATGTGGGTCTCTACCAGCTTTGCATATGCAGAAGCTGCATTACTTGTCCATTCTTTGTTGAAAAATGTCTGATGCTCGGTCAGACTGGAGAGAGTGTCTGTGAATAACAGTTTTCAAGTATTGCCTCACACTTTCAAGTGAATTAGGCGCATTAGCACACGCTGATCCATGTCTTCCAGCTTTTAGATGCATGTCTGCTTCAAGAACATGATAAAAACAGATGATTTGCCTTCTCAGCATCTTATCAAGTCCTGCAGTTTTGTGGTAAGAAGTCATTTAATTCTGGTGTGTCATCTTTCAGACAAATAGTGTACAGATACACATATTACAAAAGCTTAGGCATGAATGTATTGTTCAGAAGGAAAAGAAGGTTCAAATCATATTAATTTGGGACAACAAAGTCCTGTGAATCATTTCTCCATATCTGATGAAAACATGAGACGAACTGGCCATTGAGGCTTTATTGACATCAATAATGGATTTTTGAGTTTGAATCCAGATAAATCGCTGTGAATCAACAGGCTGACAGCAACAATGAAATAACAGAAATTTCCCACACTGGTCGTGTCCTGAATGTGGCAAAAATCTTCCACCAAGCAGTTGAGCTTCTTTCAAAGGAAAGATTCAGGTTTGGCTAAAATTTCCCTCAACCCTCAAGGAAAATCTATTTGGGTATTTTCTAACTGAATTTGAACTTCTGGGCCAAAAGGCAGAAAAACAACAGAGCACTTCACCAAATGAACTCCAAACCCAGAGTAAAACTGACTGCTTGAAAACTGGAGAGAGATTTTTATTTTTCAACATAAATCAGATATCTTAATAATCAAATGAATGACTTCATCTGAGGAAAATGAATGTTTTGGAAACGATGATCCATGAGGTCAGCTGAACGGGTCCTTACAGTCTTTATAGATTGCCTATTCAATTCTATTAAGTGAATTTATTTTCGGAATGTCAATTTACGCAATTTATACAGTCAGTGGAAATGCAGCAACTGGTCACATTGTAGCTCCATATGTGTGTTTGCATTTATGTGTCTGAGGGGGAGAGGATGAGTCTGAGAGTCTAATTAAATCCCGGGTCCACATCCACTGGCTGGATAATCAGTGTGTGTGGGGGCCAGGCTTCACCGTATACCTGATCCCGTTGGTCTCTTTACGACACACTGACATCAATCAGAACTCACCACTCCCCCATCCCCGTAATGAAGCAACAGCTCCTGACAGAGACTCCAAATTGAGACAGATGGTGGACAGGAGGACACCCCCTCACCCCCGTTGATTAGATATGAAGGCTGTAATGGGCTGACTATGTTTTCCATCAACAGGCATTATTGGTCATTTCACTAGCCGGTGCCATTATCGGCTCTTCTATTCCTGGAAGCACCTGAAAGCAGCCGAGCCGCTGCACTCCCACTCTACATCCCTCAGGTCGTCTCTGGTTCTGTGTTATCAGCATTGGCCCATCTCGGCAAACAGTCACTCAGCGCTCTAGGAAAATATGCGCAAGAAACTGGATCAAACCAAGAACGCCTCTCCCATCTTTATTTTTCACTTCGCAGAAATGAGATCACCTTTTTTATGTGAAATATTAACAGAACTGCAAGAATATGAGAGTCTGACTGTGTGATAATGTATTGTACAGTGGTGCATGTGATGTGTACAATGATCTGATTTCTACTGCTTGTGTTCACAATCAGAAATGTAATGACTGTCAAACACTTTTAATCCTTATTTATATATTATTTTATTAGTGGAGAATAAAATAATCAATAAACACCCCATTACATTTTTACATCCTCATATTAAATGTCAGATTGTATGTTATGGAGACATTAGACCCATTCAAATGTTGACAAAATAATAATTTATTTCAGTAGCTCATTTCACTAAGTGAAACAATACAACAGGTAAAAGAGATGTTGATCATATCATTTCTCATTGTAAACATATGACACAAAATTTAAGATTATATTATATCAGACCAATAAAAACATTTGTGACAGAAATATGTGCTTAATAAAAACTGTGCCTAATTCCTTCTAAAAGGGGATGCATATCATAATATATTACATATTTCTATATGTAAATAAGTACATAATTCTTAAAAGAAAGGAAAGTTCAAGAACAGCATGATGCTGCCACCATTATATTTCGCTGTGAGATGATGATGCGTAATGTAAGTTGTATTTTTTTTAACAGGTGAAAAAGTTCAGTTTTGAATTCGGTTGCTTCACTTAGAGTATGTAGGTTTGTTTTGCGATGCTAATGGGATAGCATCAAAGGCAGCATCTTAAAATCACCCAACATTATGTGAACTTGGAGCCTGAGTCAGATAAGAAATCTGAGAATTGATCATCTGGCAGATGACTTTGTATGCGTTGCAATTTAAGTGGCAAGAACTAAGAGTTGCGGTGCATCCAGAAAGCTTCACACTGTTTCACTTTTTCAACATTTTGTTATGCTACTGTCTTATTCCAGATAAGCTTGTGAACTAAAATAATTTCTTTCATCATACTTCTACACACAAACACCCCGATATGACATTGTGGAAAAAAGCGTTTTGCAAATTTATCAAAAGGAGAAACCAAAAAAAAAAAAAAGATCATATTTAGATAGGGATTTAAAGGCTTTGCTTAATGCTTTGCTGATGCAATTTTGGCAGCAATTGCAGACTCAAATCTGAAAAATTTGGAAGGATGGCTATTATTTCTCCACCACAGCTAGTATTTCAATTCAATTGTGAACTATTGTGCACAGTTTAGATTTCATTAAAAACCAGTGAAATACACATTTATTTTATATAGACTGGAAACAACAAACCTGATGCCAACTTTAAGGCTGGCCACACTATAAATTCAGATACATCTTTTTTTTATTCAAAGACAAAACGGATAATTCTCTATGCTCCAAAAAGCATTGATGTTTTTTAATTTAGAGTGAAAATTCATAGAACCAGATGGTGATATGGACCAGAACTGAACAGAAAGTCTGTTTTAGGGTTGATCACACTTTAATTCATGGCAGCTCAACTGAAAGCCATGTGGGATGATAACTGATAGATGGTCAGCTCTCAGTCAGGTCGGTCTCTAGATGCTGTAGGCATTAGACGTCTAATCACAGGGCTGTTTTAAAAGAAAGAAGAATGAACCGGGACCTGGTAGTTACTATCACCTCTTCACTAGACGAGCTGCAAAATCTGCACACTACATCTTGAGCGAATAATATCTAAGTACAGTACTGTGTGTGCCCGTCACTGTTTTACACTCTGTAATACATCTCATTGTGTTTTTTGACAAATGGAACTCTGGTCTTCGTCTTCAAAAAGACATTCTGTCAGTTTTATGCTTTAATCTGTGTTTCTCTGTTATGAGCAGCTTGGCAGCTTGAGAGTGGAACTCTGGCTGGAAATGAGGATTCATGCTCAACGGCTGACGTTGTTCTATTATGATAACAACAGAAACTCCATATCTGGTGACGTGGAGAAAGTGTCACGTTGTCAATGCACAGCATCGCCTGTAATTTGACTGTCGAACAACATTTCCAATAAAAACGTGTCGTTTCCGTGCTCAACTATTTAAATTTGGCAACTAATATCTTCAATTATATCTACTTTTGTTCCCTGATACTATTATATCAAATTGTTGCTTCAGACTGTAGAGTTTGGTACCCAGAGTCTGTGTCCTGGTGTCTCTCGGGCCAGTGGGCTGCTGCTTGAGTGCTTTACTGTGACCATGTCCCTGCTCTGAGGGGACGCATGGTGTCTGTATGTCTGGGGTGAAGTCGGTAGTCATGCCTCATTGGGTTTTGCTGCTCTTACGGGCGGAGCGTTGCAAGCTTTTTACCCTTCTCACAATTCTACCAACATGGAAATCTCCAGGTAACAAGTTCTTAGAAAGCTACCCTCAAGTCAGTTCAAAGCAGCACTTGTTGCTGAAGATGTGCTATATAAGTAAAATGACCTTTACCTCCCCATACACATGTCTCAAACATACACCCATGCAGAGAATCCAAATAGTTGACTATCATTCAAGCACACGGTCCTATTCTGTTAATGTGATCTGTCTACTTTGAGGACAAATGGTTAAGGACACAATTAAGATCTTTAAAATGTATTTTTGTTGAGCAAAACTGCTTGGGTTTATGTAGGGCACCGACTTGTCCACACGGGGTGCCCGCAGTTCTGAGGAAAACCACGTGCAATCTTCTCAGAGAAAAAAGGATCAAAGCTGCCTTTGCTGGTTGTTTTAGGCTTTCATTTGTTTGCATGATTTGCTGTCTTTTTGTGGTCTTGGCAAATTTTTATTTGTTGATGTGAGATATTTAATCGAGGCAGTTCTGCATCATCTAAAGCACTGTCTAAACATGTAACACTGACTCATGCCTAAATGAGGGCTGTGTGTCTCCTGAACAGTGAAATCAGGTCTGGAATGAAAACAGGAGTACAACATTAATTGCAGATCGTGATACATGTGGTTGTCAGGTCTGGTCCTCCAAAGATGCTGCGGCCTCATCTTCCAGAGCTCTTGCTGATGATGTTCAACTTTTTGTCAAGTGGAGTCGGTGCAGCTGGGGAAACAGCAGAATATCTTTTGACAGAACCAAATGAAGATGTGGGAAGACTTTGTAGCCGCCAGGAATGTTTGTGTAAACATCGTCTGTGGTGATCATTCCACTGGTGGATGTTATCTGAGGTTCTACATGTTTTGTTGATTAAAATTCACATTATTCAGACATTGAGTCAAGAATGCTTTGCAAAATAAACAGATGAGAAAAATGGAACAGGTAGCGGAATTGTTAAAAAATATAGAAATATAACCACATTAGGGCTGCAAGGTGTTGGTAGCACTGCTGCCTTGGAGCAGGAAGGTCCTGGGTTTGAATACCAGTTGGGAATATTTTCCGCATGGAGTTTGCAGTTTCTCTCAGAGCGTCAGTGGGCCCTCTCCTGGTACTCCAGCTTCCTCCCACAGTCCAAAAACATGACTGTTAGGTTGACTGGTCTCTGTAATTTGTCCTTAGGTCACCTCTCCTTCCATGGAAACTTGAAAAACTCACAGTTTTTGACAAAAGGTTTTTGCGTAAGGGTAGGTGCATGAAACTGCAATGGAAACAGGTTTTTGTTGGCATCATATGAGTCACATGATCAACAGCTGGATAGTACAACGGGCGAAATGATGAAGATGGCAACAGGAAGCGGTATGAGGATGATGGATTGGTTTTGCTGTCTCCATTGGAGCTCTCACAGCATCGCACTGTTCACAAAACGTATGCATCATTCGATCGTGTTTAATTCTCTAATTTGCAGACGACACTGAGCTATTGGCATACGTCCAGTGTTCACATGTGCAGACCACTCTGTTTGCATTATGAGGATGTCTGATTCAGTTAATAGCTGCTGGAAAATGTTAACTTGTGTCAGCTTTCCCTAAATTATCGTCACGACAGTCTGACATATTTTAACTGAAGCCATGGTGTCAGGTGCCGTGAAAAAATATTTGCCTCGTTGAAGTTTTGGAATGTGACAAATTGCGAGCAGGTTCAATGAGTGTTAATACTTTTGCGAAGGCCAACATGCTCTATTCTGTCTTGAGTCAGTGGAGATGCAGTGGCAGATTCTGCTGTGAACTCCAACAGACACAGGTGACTACCACCTGACCCGCTTACCAGAGACAAAAATCATCTCAGATTGATGATGAGGGACACAGTATAGGTGAGAGAGGGGGAGGGAGAAGTCTCAGACTTAGTAGGCCATGGTCTGCCTGGCGTCTGGAGCTCCGTCATCAGCCAGCCACTCTTCTTACTGGCTGCTTACTGGCACACTTACATAACTCAGCACAGACACCCAGAAATGGATCCAACTAGACTCAGATGGTCTCTGAACACATCTCTGCCTGACTTTTGTCTACCTGACTTCTCTTTCCTGACACCCACTGAGGGTTGGTAAAAATCCACCAGGTGCAAAGTTTTTGTTATCTCTTAAATATGCTTCAAACTATTTATCTTCTAAAAATTAGACAGCCCTATTACGTGGAAGAAGTGCTATGGATTCAATATGCTCAGCTGCACATTGTCCCAAAAAACAAAAACAATCCATCATCCTTCTAGTACGTCCTGTCGTCTTTAATGGAAACATGGGAACATCATGGAAATATACATTCCTGTCATGTTACGTGTTTTTTTAGTTTTGTGTCCCTGAGTCTCCTCGTCCCTGAGTCTCCTGTCTTTGTGATTACCCTCTGTGTATTTAATCCCTCCTGTGTCCTCTGTTCCTCGTCTCATTTTGGCTTTGGTGTATGTGGTGTCAGTCCCTCCATTCGTAGTTCCTGTTGCTACCAGTGTTGAGCCTTAGCTTCTGCTTAGCTGTGCTGCCAGATTATTGGACTTCAGTGCTACTTCTACGTTAAATCGTCATTTTCTTCACTGCCTCTGTTTAACTCTGGTAGATTCTTACATTTGGGTATTATATATTGGTTACTGTTAACTTGCATGTGTTAGTCAGATCACATTTGAATGTTATGAGGTCCATTTGCATGATTATTATGCTTGTATTACTTTAACATTTGCAGGCATGAATGGGTTTTATCTTTCATATGACCAGTTTTCAAGGCTCAGCTGCCATTTTTCAGACATGTTGTGTTCTCCGCGGCTCTGTGAAGTCACTGACAGTAAACTCACTTCCCCAGATCCTTCTTACCCTTTAAAGCCATGAAGGCTAAAGTTACACTCTGGTCCTGGTCCTCTTATGTACATCTGAGACTTGGAGCCAGAGAATTGTGATGTACAATTAGTTGCCTGCAATCGTTTTAGAATTGACTGAAAACTATTAGGCGATGGAGCAGCCAGCAGGAATCTGTTTTCACTTCATTTGTCTTCTGGTGATTAGAATAAAAAAATACATATATGTGCTGACTTGTTCTCCTTTAATGTACATAATGTAAAAACAATTTCTCCATAGTTGTTGGGTTGCACTATTTTTTTACAACCTCCAAAACAATTAAAGTTTGAGATGCACCAGCCAATGTTTTGTCATTTTTATTTCGTTTTTCTTTTCATAGAATAATTTAAAAAAAAAGTGCTGATAGTTTTTAATAAACATCACATGTTGACTTCATGCTTTATAATTTATTTCATATTATATTTAAAATTCATATTTAAAATATTGAAGTTTGTGACATTTCAAGCACAAACATCAATGTATTTTGCCTGAATTTTGTTTAACCAACAAGTAATGCGTAATTGGGAGGCACAGAGGAAAAGATGCATGTTCAATAAAAAAAACCCTGACATGCGTCACTTCCTTCTGAATTCAGCTCCATTGACCCAAATTAATAACGAAACAAAAATGACACAAACAAACAGCACATCTCCTGAACACATCGTTCCCACAGCATTGAACTGTGGGATCTTTTTATTCTTCAGGACAGCTGGTCGTTGTCAATGGAAACGTGGACAGAGCTAGATACAGAAAATCCTTGGGGGCGAAAAAAATTGTAAAAAAAAAAAAGAATCACCCTATATATACAACTACACCTAAAATGGATGGTTAGAATGATCTAGTCAAAGTTCAGATCATACTTTTTAGATTTTTGTTTAAACATTTAAAGACTATATATTATTTTTCATCCACTTCAGTTATGCACCGCTTTGTACATTCAAGTTTGTGGGAAATGTACACAATTAAAAGGAAAAAAAATCTGAACATCACAGCGGATTCAAATTCCAAAGATGCATAAAAATTGATCGAAATAAAACTTTGGACAATCCAAAACAATAACTGAACACATTCAGGACGTAAAGTCACATCACAAACATAGTTTGGGTAACATGAACTGCTTTCTCTTTCAGACGTGGATGAATGTACGAATGACTACAATGGGGGCTGTGTCCATGAATGCATCAACATACCTGGGAACTACAGGTGCACCTGCTACGATGGATTCATGCTGGCCCACGATGGACACAACTGTTTAGGTATGAATGGCTTTTGTTGGACCTTCTGGCCTTTTGCCTGGCTTATCGCTTAATGCTGCCAGGATGAACCTCTTCATGAAAATGTTATTTCGCTTCCTGTGCTGAGCTCCTCCTCACTGCGATGTCAGGCGTTAACTTATACAAAGCTCCTCCGGGCTCTCACCATAGCATATCAGTCAACTTTAGGTCTCAGCTTTGACTAGGACATTGCATTATCTCGATTCTCTTCTTTTCCAGACATTTTGTGGTGAATTTGTTATGTTTGATTATATTGTTCTGTCTCACTGGAGGGATTTCTTTACACTGATTGTGTCCATACTTTTTTTTGCCATGAGGGCCACAATTGTCAAGTTGCCAGCATTCAAGTTTTTTTTTTAATCACTTTAAAACTCAAAAGATTTTGACAATATTTCAATGGTGTAAAGTAATTAAATTTTTTGTAGAAAAGAAATCTGTAAATGATTGTTGATCCAACATTTCAACATTTGAATAGCTGTCATTTAATACAGCTGCTGTATTTAATGACAAGCAATGTTTACTCTCCTCATTTTTCTCTCTCTTTTCCTCTTTCTTTTCTTGTTTACATTTATGCAACAAAGGTTGGGCAGCGCTCATTCGTTTCAACAAAGTGTCATTAAAGTATGGCTACTATCGAATGTAGCAATTTGCGCCACTCACAATTGAATTTAAATGCTCTGCCACTTCGGTCCTGCACACTAACTGAAAGTAGGGAGAAACAACGACATCTGTCTATCTGTCGGTCTATTGATCTATACATAGATAGATGTTGTCTTCGGTTGGGTGAGCAAAATGCTGCCTAAGTTCAGTAGCTGTTAGCGATCAGTAGGACATTGCTGGCGGATGTTTAAAGTACTACGGAGCAGAAAGCTGACGTTGTTTCTCCCTACATCCAGTGGGTGGCGGAGGTTGCTACAGTCAATGCTACACCTGCTACAAGGAAACAAACGCATCTAGTACAACACTTTCATTCTACTGGCTGAGAGGTTGCCAAGCGACTGTGCCAAAAGGCGGTTCCAAAAACAAGCAGAGAATGTTTCGTAAGCGAGCGGAGGGTCCGAGCAGAGACTAAGTTTGAGTGCAAGGAGAAGCTTTGAGTAAGCATTACAAGTTTTGAGAAGAAAGGTTAGAAGTGCTGCTTTCAAAGTAAAAATGTAAGCAAACATATTCAAAGTTTTGAGAACAAAAGACATCAAATCCTGCTTTCAGACTGAAAATATGGGCTCTTGGATTATGGCAGAAAAATTCCCCCATGTAGCTTTAGTTGGTTGCTGGTTTGGTTTGGGCAGAAGAAGAGAACGTTGGACGGCAGACATGTTTGTTTTTTGGAGTGTTGATTAAGAGTGGCCTTTAATCTGCTGGTTTTGGAGGATGTTATGGAGTAGGAGCTGTAACTTGAATAAACCAGGAAGCATAAAGCCACTGACTGAAGGCTAGTTACCTGAGCAGCTAGCATTAGCTTGTTTTCCTCGTGTTTTTCTATACATTTCCTGAAAATTTCGGGATTTGTTCAATACAGATAGTTTAGGAGGAGGCATTTTGTATGTATGGTCATGATATGTAAAAAAAAAACCTGTAAAAACATGATATCATTTCTGCTGTATACTTTATGCAGTGTAGTTGGCACATTAAAGCCCATGCATTCTAAACAAAAGCAGGATAACTAAGCAGTGTATTGCTGAAAATTGGCTTGTATATTTCATTCTGTTAGCCATCTGACTGTTGTCTTTCACTGCATGTGTTGTGCTTAAAATCAGGATTGCGGATGAAGCAGAAGGTCTTCAGATTGTTAATTCCAACAGTCACTGGTATTTACTGCCTGGTGCGAGGAAACCAGCTGTGTCTGTCCCTAACCTCAAGACTGGCTTTACTAGATGTTGACTGGATGCAGCCTTAATGAGCTGCTGCTGATTAAATCAGACTTCAAACGAGGCAGTAAAGTGTGAAATCACAGAGAGAATATCTGTGATCACAGAGCCAGTAGCGGCTTTGTGCTCAGACCTCCCGTCCCGTTTATAATTCCTGCGGTTTCTCATTTCGCAAACTGACATTACAAATTCAGCCAAACTTTCTTTTATTAAAACTTGTAGTAAAGTTTTCAGTTTTAAGCTTTTCTTGTGTTTTATCCTTGTTTCTATGTATCCTGTACTGGCAGCTCAGGCAAACAGGAAGTTGGATCTGGTTGCCCTACTATGTCAGGGCAGATTTACCCTATAACAATTGTATCATGACATTGAAAGGGATGTATTCTGATTGTAATTACAAATTGTAATGTTCATATCCTGCCTAATGAGAGCCAAAGTATTTCCTTAGAAGCTATTTTAAAAGTTATAGAAGTTTGTTTTTAGTATTTTTGTGACCAAATGTCATAAGTCAGTTCATTTCTTACTTCTAAATATCAGTTTCAGTCATAAATCCAAACATTCAGTTGAAATTATTATTGTTTTCCATAGAATCCAACATTAAATATGACAGAATTGTTCAGTTTTTAATTTTTTTTAGATTACAGTGTTTTTTTTTTGTTCATATTTTTATTTTTTATTTTTTCATGACTATTGCATTTGCAAGAATTGGAGGCGTTGTGTATGGGTGTTTTATTGCAGGTATGATTATTGCATTTAAAAAATGATCTGGCACCACAGGAATGTAGAAATATTAAAGCAACCTCTCAAAACATCAGCCAGGAAAATATAATTTGAACAGATTGGATGAAACAATTACAATACAGCGCAATTATTTTTTGATCTCTCAGCTGTATTATTCATCAGGAGATATACTTTTGAACATGCAGTCATGTTCTTCCATTTCCTTTCACGTACCTGTTAATTCTTGCTTCCGCTGATAAAAATGTGCTTCGTTATTCCCATATGAGTTGTCTTAACAGTGTTTTCCAGCTTTGCTGAGTTCAAAGACAATGGAAAGTAAAATCATACGCCTTCCTGTACAGGAGCCAGACTTGTCAGATTGCTTCCTCACAAATGAATCTTATCCGAAAAATGAAGTCAGTCCTTAAGGAGGTCAGCATTGGGTTCAGGTTTATGAGTCATGAAACCCAGCAGAGCTGATGCAGATCAGCCGCCGCTTTTGTCACTTTAGGTCCTCAGTGTGCTACGGTTTCATTTGAAAACTATTTTCCCGGAGTGCTTGTCAGAGTTCAGACTCCTTTCATTTCACATTCTGCTCACATCCTCCAGGCCTGCTTGCAAAAACACCATAAAGGCTCTGCGGCTTTTAATGGACCTGGAGCCATGATGCTGAGAAACCTCACGGCCTTGTAGTTTAAATGACAAACCCAACGTTGGAAAGATTGCGGACATCGGTTTCGTGTGAGCGTGCAGGAAGTCGCTTCGTCGTCTCAGCAGATGCATCGTGTCAGTAACTGAGGACATTAACTGATTTAAGGTCAGCTAATTGTCCTCTAATTAAAAAGCCGTCCTGTTTGGTTTCTTCGCTTCCTTTGCATTTCGACTCTGTTTATCAAACTCGATGACACAATGAAAGAAAATAAGGACATTTATAAAATCAAAGCCATCTGCCTTATTACCAATCCACAGATCGGCTTGGAGAGCCAAGTTAATCCAGATTCTTTAACAATCCTTTAAAGAAGCTAGATAGTTCAAGTTATTATAATGTTTAATCTCAACTTAGAATAAATTAAGTATTTTTTTAGAAAGAAAAAAAAAATTTCACAGTTAGAATAAATAAAGTATTTTAGCAGAGTTTTTTTCAGTTTATTTATTTATTTTTTTTATCTAGGCTGATACTTTGTTCCAACAGAAGAAGTAAACCTGCCAGTGTTCTGACAATGTGTCACCTAAAACATGGACATCGCCATCATGTATTAACAAACATTGCATTTTAGGTAACGGTGCAATGTTACAAATGTTCCTACCCAACATATCCAGTACAGTCCTCTCTGTCTGTCCGACCCAATCAAATAGTTTGATACCTGAACACACGGAGGATGTTCATGAGGTACCACAATCTGTATCGCAGCTTCAGAAGAAGCACTGTTATGCATTTTCTAGGCACACAGTACCATTTTACAGCACAACCATGTTACCTTTAGCTGTTATGAAAATGCTGTGTATATCAGACATGACTTAAAAAAAACTTGACTGCATTTTAAGACCTTATAATTGGGCCTCTGTCTCTTTAAACATTCCAGCTCTTTCAGAATCTCCGCCTTCAAGAAGTCATCACATCATGGCTCCTCTATTAACCCTTTAAAGTTTTTACTAGCATTGCAGTGAGACGTAGCTTCTTTAATGAGCTCGGTAGATGTGCAGTTCCACCAGGTGTTTGCTAATTACTGCTGGCTAGTCTGAAGGAGCTGAGTGGAGAGGGGCTGCTCTGTGAGCCTGGACACTGGAGCTTCCAGGCCTTCAATAGTATCACTCTGTCAAAGCTACAGCTTTTCTCTGTGGAGAGAGGAGAACCTTCCAGAAGGACGACCATCTCTGCAGTGATCCACCAATCAGGCCTGGAGACGGACAAAAGGCACCTGAAGGACCTCAGACCAGCAGACACAAGATGAGACGAGCTCAGGTGTGAATGACAGGCATCGTATTTAGAAGAAACCAGGCGCGGCTCATCACCTTCGCTACAGCGAAGCACGGTGGTGGCAGCATCATGCCATGGAGATGTTTTGCAGCAGCAGGAACTGACTGATTAGTCAGGACAGAGAGAAAGTCAAATGCAGTGATGAACAGAGTAGATGAAAAACTGCTGCAGAGCATCCTGACCTCAGACTGAGGCCAAGATTCATTAGTTCAGCAGGACGACGACCCAGAGGAAAGGCTTCAGAACCTCTCTGTGAACGTCCTGGAGGAGACAAACCAGAGACCAGGCTGGAATCTGATTGGACATCTTCAGAGAGATCTGAAAATGTCTGACAGACGTCTCCATCCAGCCTGCTGGAGCTGGAGAAGAGCAGCAGGGAAGAACGACTGGAGGCGGTAAAAGCTGGATCAACAAGCAAAGGCTGTGAATACTTCTGTAAACATGATTTTCTTTGTTTTCTATTTTTAGTGACTTTTTTTTTTTTACCATTTTCTCCTAGTGGAGTACTTGTGTCTATTATTTGGAAAGAGATTAATTTAATACAGTTTGGATCAAGACAAGAGCAAGAAAATGTGGGAAAAGTGAAACATTGTGAATGCTTTCCGGATGAACTGCATGTGAAGCAACATCCTCACTGTGTTTAGATGGAGCTTCACCTCATTTGAGCCCAACGTGAAAAAAGGGTGGTGGTGGCTGAAACTGGAACTGGAAATAAAGAAACTGGAATGGCATTTCTTTCCTCTTAACTTTCTCCTGGAGCGGCGGGAAGATTAAAGTCATCAGTCATATTAATGGCATCCATTACGGCTCAGGATTTACCTAAAATAGTGTTAGGAAGTGCTGTGAAAACAAAGCAGAAGTTCACCAAGGACACGATTTATGCTCACAACGTAGAACCTCTGCTGCTATATTTACACTCGGAGCTGGAACTTTATGGGCCTGCAGCAAAAGAACTCGGTGAAGTCATCGTCGAGGTCCGTTAGACCGTCACAGAACCTTCTGAATATCCAACATCATTCATTCAGGGGAAGCTCTGCTTTTTTATTTATTGTTTTATTATTCATTGATTACATGACCTGTTCTCTGTTATCTCTGTCCACTTACAACTTAATTTGTTAAAATCTGTTGAGTACATTTTAAAAAGTCATCTGAGTTACACATTCCTTTCTATTTGTTAGAACTGAACAGTACTTTTATGTGATAATGTTTTACAGCACATTATAATTATTACTGTTAATTTTGTTTATACATAGATTAAACATTTTTTGATCTTTGGTGTGAACCTATTGCTGCCTGAATTTCCCCTGTTTGAGACAGTAGATGCTATTCTATTCTATTCTATTCTATTTTATTCTATTCTATTCTATTCTATTCTACAACACAACTTAACCCAGTAAGTCAAGTCTGTTAGCCAGAGAGAATATTCTAATCACAACATATTTCTCAAAATATTCATGTAGCTAAAAAACAACCTGATACTGTCTAAGTGCTTTTATGTAATACAGAAAAGGAACGATTGCTGAACTGGTGTTGAAATTTTGAACTTGAAACTCAGAAAAGTCCAGGTTCCTTTTCAGAAAGTAACGAGATAAATCTCAAATTTTCAGAGTTTTTTTTTTTTTTTCTTTTGGCAGAAATTCTCTACTTTTATTTTCCTACTTACAATGGCCCTAACAGGCTGCTGTAGTTTTACTTTTTAAAAGGAGCGATGGAAACACATTTGTAGCAACTTTGAAAGCTCAGTATAGCTGTCATCCGGTGCCGGTCCGGTCCGGTTGCGACCTCTTGCCATCTGCCTTTTCTTCCTCCTCTCTGGTTTTGTGTCCTGCCTGAGGCTGGCGGCCCGTCTCAGCACCTCAGACTAAACACAGCGCACAGCCACCATGTCAGGCCCGGGTTTACACACACGCCCACGTACAGAAGCTGTCACGTCCGATTACCGTACAAGACAGTGGGCCACTTCACGGAAAACTTTCTAAGCCTTTCATCAGCACAGTGCAGAATAAACAATGCTTCCCGGCAGTATGGAACGACTAACGCTTAGCGCCAGGCTTTTCATCCAGTCACAGAATCCACCTGTTAGTGTGATGGGACAGCATGGCTGTTCCTCCTGGGTCCCTGTAACATTCCTGACTCTGGTGTCAACATCACTGAGCACACGAAGTCTGACTCATCTGCTGTTATTAATGCAGCTCAGTAAGTGATGAGCGTTTGTTCCACTGCTGCCTCTCATCCCTTGCCTCTCCGCTGTCTCTGTGTGTGTCCAGATGTGGACGAGTGTCTGGACAACAACGGAGGATGCCAGCAGGTGTGTGTGAACACAATGGGGAGCTATGAGTGTCAGTGTACAGACGGCTTCTTCCTGAGCGACAACCAGCACACCTGCATCCACCGCTCTGATGGTAAGACTGGGACAAAGACACCAGAGAGAAAACACCTGATGACAAGAAATCTTTTTTGGAAGTTGTCTGTTTTTTTTTTCTTTATCTGGATTAGGACCATTTTACACCGCTGAATCTCAATCAGGTTTTCATTCTAATTTATGTGGAGAAATCTGGTCTTCTGAATCGATAACATGTTTGTGACATTATCAGTTCATTTCCGTTCTTATTTCCCATTCAAAAAAGGTTTCAGGAGAAAAAACAAAGTTTTCTAACAGAGTGTATTGATTAAATGTTACAAAGTTGGATGTCTGCAAATTGAGTAATTTACAGAAGCCAATAAGGGTAAGAACATGTGACCTGAACGTTACGTCTTTGTCTCTTTCCTCTCCTCCTGCTCATCACTTCGTTCTCCAGATGTGAGAACAAGTCATGCATTTTGATGCTCATGTTGCTCCATAGTTCAGGAAGTTGACTTGATTGAGAAAAAACAATGTGATTTTTGGATTCAACTCACAATCCACATTAAAAAGTCAAAAAAAAACAAAAAAACAGACAATTGTTTTGGCTGTTGACCAGTGTAACATTTCAGTTATGGAAGGAAATTAGAGGGGGAAAAAAGTCACATTTTAATTGTTAGGATGTAGTAAAGCACAAAGAAAATAATTTCATAGAGTAGATTTCAAAATGAAGAAAACTTTGGCATGCAGCTTTGTTAACTGTAGCTGTTTTTATAAACTGGGCGTCTCCTGGAAACTCTTCCAAACAAACCATGATTTTTAATATTTTCTAATTTTACTGGAATGAATTTAGCCATTTTAGCAGCTAACTGAAGCCTGGAGAATCAGAGCGCTGAAACGTCTGACCACTGGGACGAGTTCATCTCAGAGAGAATTGGCGACTGCTTTCCACTTGATATGTGAAATATGAATGAGCTTTCTGACGGCAAAAACTGTCTAGAAATTGCTTTAGAACTCTTTCTAGGTTGATGGGCGGCAAAAGTTACAAGATCTGTTTGTTATTCACTTAATTCGTGTAACAGTCACAAAAGTATTCACACCCATAAGCCTTTCTTTTCTGCAATAAAGTCACAAAGTTTCTTTTACCAATCATTGTAAAGTGGGATAACAGGATAGACGATTTATGTTGCATTTGTAAAATAACATTTAAGTTTCAGGTGCAGGAATATACAACCCCGTTCAGTTAATATGCTGTTTCACATACAGCAGTCAGTGTTTGAGGCATTTCTATCCCAGCTTTGCACATGTAGAAATTACATTGTTTTTACTTGTTTTGACCTTTTCGCTCAGGCAGATCGGATTGACAGTGATTTCAATCTCTTCTAAAGATTTTTAATAACATTTAGGGCAGAAGTTTGATAAGAGCATTCAGATATAATGAACATGTTAGTCTCTAACAGTTTTTAATTTTTTTAGCCCAGATGTTTTTCAGGTGTTTAGTTTCCTCTCTATCCAGCTTCACTATCGCTGCTGAAGAAAAGCAAAGCCCCTGGCATGATGCTGCCATTACTGGTGTGTGTGTGTGTGTGTGTGTGTGCATGTGTGTGTGTGTGGCGGGGGGTGCGGGGTGTTCTAGACATGAATACAAGCCACACTTCCCACTTTTTATAGCACTTTATTTTTTATACATCTTTTTGGAACACTGTGTGTTCTATCAGAAAAAAGCAGGATAAAACTTACTTATTGACTCAGACTCGGTTTCAAAGCCGACTCGTTTTAAACAGACATAAAAAAAACAGGCCACTGCTAACAATATTCATACCGCATGTTGACGGGTATGAAACAAAACAACAGCAGTAGCAGTGTAACATCAGAAACAGGAAGAAGCGTCCAGCGATGCTCTCTTTGTTGTCCTCAAATTGTGTCTCACCTGACACTTCAGTTGTTGCAAAATGCAATAGTAAAATCAGAGCGTAGGAAATCGAGACAATGGAAAAACCCTGATGATAAAGTCTGATGTTATCACCCATTATCGTTTCATCGGAAAATCGATTACTGAAATAATCGCCGGCTAATCTCAATTAATTGTTAACTGGAGTAAACACACTCAAAGAAAAATAACAACAGAATTCGAGCTGGAATTCAACCAAAACTGTGCAAAAATATTTACATTTTGCATTTAAGACAATAAAAAGAAAAGAAAAAATGTGGTCTGCCCAGAACTACTCAAATGACAGTTTTAGCTTCACCTGGTTCAAATTCTGGAAAGAAGTCACAGACAGACAGACTCAGTCTCCACCTTTGGGCTGCGTTCACGCTGCAGCCTGCAGTGACACAAATCTGATTGTTTTGTGTTTATGTATCTGATCTTTTCATGACAGTCTGAACAACACAGAGCAGATTTTTAGAAAAGCAAAGCAGGTCACGTTGCTTTTCTGAAAGCAAAGTGACGTGAGCTCAGCTCAGATGTTTCAGTGAAATTTGATTTCCGTCATTCACATTTCCAAATATATGTGACTTGTGTCTGATCTGCCGTTTGAAATGCAGACAAGCCTACAGCGGCCTGCATGCACAGCAGAGGAAGCAATGATGTCACACATAGTGAGCGTGCTCAGTGTCTGTGGAAGTAAACATGGCCGCAAACAGTGGAGCGTCTCTTGTGACGTTGAAGCAGCTGTCCAACCAGATCCAGCACATTAGCAGTTTAATGCTCATCATCGTGCACCATGGTCGTGATTTGTCTTCTAATGTCCGTGTGTCAGGAAGTGTGAACAACCACACACACACAGAAAAAAAGAAAATCTGATTTCACAAAATATCTGAACTGAGCATTAAAGGCTGGCAGTGTGAACGTCGCCTCAGTGATCAATAAGGCATGAAGGTTGAATGAAGCCTAAAGAAAAGAGCACAGGTGCTGTTTGTCTTCCTCCAACTGTTTCATGAGGAGAGATTTCCATTCCAGAGCAGGTTCATGAAGTTCACCATGCTGCAACTGCCATGGGATCAGTTAATTAGCAGGACTTTATCCATGGAACAATAAAATGGCTTAATTAAACAATTTCATGGGGTAACGGAAACTTCAATTCCACGTCATTGGGCTTATTTTCTTTTCTTTTTGCTCCTCCCTTTAAAATATTAAAGACCATACAGTATTCTCTTTAGGGCAAGATTAAGAAACAAACCTAAAATAAAATGAATAATATTAAGTAAAAGTATGCCACATTGAATTTTGTAAGTTCAATTAGTTTTACATCTTGGCATCGTCTCACTTCCTGGAGGTTTCACTCAGCAGCAGCAGTGAGGAAGCTCTGAGCTCCGCTTTCCTTTCAGCGCTGACACTTCTCTGCTGCCTGAACAATAGACACATGCATGCAGCTGTGAATGTGGACAGTGTGCCTGAGGACATCAAAGACGTGAAGCGACGACAGTCGTTTGTCACCCCTTAATGGGAACAGGCAGGAGGAATGGGGTTGTGGGCAGAGACGGAGGGCGAGGACGGAGAGGTCGAGTGAAGGAGGAGGCTGTGACCTCTGCCTTTGTCCGCTCCCTCTTCGCTCGGAGCGCTCGCCGGCTGTGGTCGGCGCGGAGGTATGTCAGGAGGCTCTCAGGATGTTAGAGGATCCTTTGTGGAGGAGCGAAGCGAAATAGGTGCACAAACAGATAAATGTTTGCTCACTGGGAACTCCGCCGGCCAGCGAGCTCCTGCCGTCGTTTCCTGTCACTCCAAACTCTTTTTAAAGCTTCAGGTTTGCGTCAGGGGAACCCTGCCTCTGTTGTTTCTTAGTTTTCACAGCAATCAACCAGATGTAGCTGCACTCTTCAGTCCCATTTCTTTGGGGGAATAATTGTAAAATGATTATGACACATTATGACTGAAGCTGTTCTATATCCATGTTCTAACTGTAAACGTGTGTGTAAACTGGGATGCTCACAGTAAACAAGCAGTTAAAATCTCTAGGTGTGAGTGTGTAATTCCTCACTCTGGCTGGCTATCTTGAGCTTTTTACCTTCACCACACACACACACTCACACACACACACACACACACACACACACACACATACACACACACACACACACACACACACACCTCCCTCATCCCCCTCATACACACTCTGTCCTGCTTCCACAATCAGACGCTTGTCCGCTGTCCCCCTCCAGGCCAGGAATAGCCGTAGAATCGCAGTGTTCCACAGGAATCTTCTTGCTCGCTCTCTTTCCGTCTCAAACATCACAGTCCCAGTGACACTCCGACCTCAGCAGCAGGATGTGCTTGAAAACCACACCTGTTCACTGTGTAGCTTCTCTCACTGCAACCTCTCCACCAGCATGGAGAGACATCGAAGACATCAGAGCATGAGTCGATGCAGACGTTGCAGACGGAGGAGCTCATCCTCTTGGTCTCTTGCCTCAGCTTTTGCTTTTTGAAAGTTATTTTATAAACCCAACTTCAAAAAGTTACTTTTCTACTCTCTACCCTCACAACCAGATTACTTCAAATTTAAGGATTGTGGAATTTTTCCTTCGCATGAGATTCCTTTATTAATAACCGAATCTCAGATTCAGTTTTTGCAGATACAAACTAGAGGTCAGGCCTGAAATCTTGCCTTAGTGATGAACTCTGACCTGAACCTTCAGAGTCACATAAAGATGGTTACAGAGTCGGCCTTCTGTCACCTGAAGAACATCTTCGGGTTTGGAGGACTTATGTCTCAGCGAGATCCAGAGAAACTCATCCATCACTGCAACAGCGTCTTACAGGTCTGTCTAAAAAAAACAGTCCTCCAGCTGCAGCTGATCCAGAAGCTGCTGCTGGTGTCAGTTCTAAAGTCTTCATACTGACTCTCTGTTGCTCAGAGAATAGGCTTTAAAATACTGTTGTTAGTTTATTAAAAAAAAAAAAAAAAAAAAAAACTGAACCGCTCAGCAGCAAAATACATTAAATGCCTGTTATGTTTTATCAGCCATCCAGACCTCACAAGACTTCTGGTTCTGGTTGCAGTCCAGAACCAGAAACTTCAAAGATGTTTAAACGGCGAAATTGGGTTAGGAATAGCAGGT